GCAGTAGCAGCAGAACAGCTGCTCCTCCCCGGCGGCCGCCCCCCGCGGGTCCCTCCCTGGCTGCGGGAGAGACGGAGGTAGAGGGAGGACACAGCGCTGCGCCGCCCGCACCGGAGACCTTCGCCGCGCCCTGCCGGCTCCTCACCTTCTGGGAGGAACATGGGTAAGTCATCCTTCCCCGTCATCGCCTGACATTTTTCTCTTCCTCGCCGTGTTGCAGGGTAGGAAGCATTTATGGCGCAAAGTTGCCGGATTTCTCAGTTCCATGGGTGCGAGACGGTGGCTTTTCCTCCGGGGAGAGTCGGCGCACGGGGAACTCACGCCGGGTACCCGGGCTGGGAGGGTCCCGAGTGCGGGGTGGGGTCGGTATGCGGGACCCGACCGCCGCCCGTCTCGGCACCTCACTGCCTCGCCTCCCCTCCTCCATTCTTCCTGCCCGAGCCCGGGCACCCCAGAGCCAGGCTCGCCAACTCGCATCATTTACCCCATCCACATTTCTGTAAAGGCCGCCCGCTAGCTACCTTTTCCCCACGTTTCCTGGGCTCGAGGTTCCTGTCCAACCGGGAGAAAGACCACTTAATGGAACTTCCCAGTCAGCACGACATTTTCCTATTCTGGGGACTGCTCATCCCGAGGCAGGGAACGTAGGCGCATAGTTGGTGAGGGAAATTTTACAACCTGCATGGACATTTGTTTTCGATGGAGTAGAGCGGACAGCCTCATAGGTTGAAACGATGACTTGTCAGAGGCCACGAGGAACGTGAGGAAGGATAGAGCCGCTAGATGTTGAATTAGGGTGGGTTAACTACAACATGCAATATTCTGTGCCCAGTCCATCTTCGTGGTTCATCTGCCTGTTAGCAGGAGACTGCACCTTGTAACATGTTGTTGGTGAATTTACATATTAGTGATTTTTTCTCGCTTTGCTCTGCCTAAATCTACCTCATCTGATTTTAGTTATCTTGTATTTATAGTTCATCTCAAGAGGTTGGTTTGGACAAGAAGTTTAAAAGCAAATACAAGTTTTATAAAAATACATATAATTGACCCCCCAAATTTTAATCATATTGCTTAACTGTTAAATTCAGTAATTACAGATGAATTCTGTGATGTTAATTAACAGCTAAAGTTTTTTGCGGGGTGAGTGAGCAGAGGGGATGTATTACTTTGGAATATCATACTTCTGCATGTTCCCCAGTTTGCTTTCGCTCTTGTCAGTCATTGGCATCTATCAACTGGACTTCCCCACCTCTTAGTGCAAGTTTTTTTAGCTTGAGATGGGTGGTTCTTTTATCTGTCAATAGAGTTCTAACAACATATTCAAAGTTAGATTATGGCAACTCAGAATCTTTAAGGAAGTATCTAAATCTAGATATGGTATCACTGAAGATTACTGGAAAAGCAAATGCTCCAACCTCTGATTCAGACCTTTGGCCATACATGAGGAAGAGGCCAGCATTGCAGGGTGAGATGGTTTGAATGAAAAATGATTGTTGTTTCTCTTTTAATGTAGGTACTATTGGTATACTGAACAAATTGTAAAAATAGGGTGGCCCATTTATATGTGACAAGCCTTTGTGGTTCAAGAGATTTGAACCCACCCAGCAGCTCCATGGAAGAAAGGCCTGGTGAACTGCCTCCGTAAAGATTGTTATTGTTAGATATCGTTGAGTCGACCCCATGTGACAGAGTAGAACTGCCCCATAGGGTTTTCTTGGCTGTAATCTTTACAGAAGCAGATTGCCAGGTTTTTCTCCCATGTAGCTGCTTAACCATTTGTGCCACCAGCACTCCTCCATAAAGATTACAGACAAGAAAACCCTATGGAGCAGTTTTACCCCGTAACACATGGAGTCTCTGAGTCTGTGGGCCAACTCCAAAGGCAGCTAACAACAACTACCTTTCTCTAGGAGGAGTTTTAAATAAATAATAAATCAGATTATTGGATATGGTGTGCCTTCCCCTTGAACATACCCCAGTTTTCTTAATTACCAAATCTGGCCTGTGGAATACGTTTCCCCATGTTTCAAGGTGAGTTTAAAAAAATCCATTTAATTAAAAATTTAACTTACATGTTGAATCAGCACTTTTTTAGGGTGGAAAAATTCTGTTGTAACATTAGTGAATAAAAATAGTTAAAACAAAATTATTTACTTAAAAATAATTGGTTTTGAAAAATTTTGGAAAGGCCAAATATAAACCCATCTTTCACTGTGAGCCCTTCTCAGGTCCTCTTTGATTAAATCTCTCTCTTTCCTCCTAGCACTCTTATTTGTACCTTGTTAGAAGCTTTTTAGCACTTACATAATCTGCCTTACATTAGAGTTGTGTGTGCGTGTGTGTGTGTGTGCGTGTGCGTGTGTTTTGCATTTAATCATGAGTGCCAGAAGGTGAAAATCATCCTATTAATCTTTGTGTCTTCACATTGCTTTTCACATAGTAGGCATTCAGTAAATCTTTGTGGAAGTAATTGTTGAACTTAAAACCACATTATCTATTATTTTTAAGTTTTGAGCCTGAAAGTATAGGCTCCAAACAAATATTTGGGTTAGTGGATATTTCAAAGGGGATATAGACGTATAATTGTATTATGCCTCTTTTCTCTTTAAAAAAAAAACACGTGGGGTTGTCTTACCCAGGTTGTTTTGAGAAAACCTCCAGGGAAGCCATTTCCTTCTACATTGCTGCTTTCAGTGATAAGGCGGTGTATGTGTGATCAGTAGGTATATGCAATAATATAAAATTGAAAACTTGGAAAGCAGTTTTATATTCTGAGCCAAGGAAATTATAAAGATTCATATACACATAGGAGGTGGAAGGCACACTACTAATGGTAGGAAAAAAGTCACTTTTTAATCTTTTCTTCTGAAGAAATAAGTAAGGTAATTTAAAAAATATTCTCATGTGATTGATTTTTCTATATAAGACAGTAAAGGAAACTTACTATATAAGCTTATGGACCATGGCTATTATTTTATGTATATATTTTATTATAAATTCAACATATATGTAATATTTATTGCATACTAACTATGTGTAGCGTATGATGGGAGACCAAAGATGAATAAGATATTTTTGTTTCAAGTTGTTTATAATCTTAATAGGAAAGATATGATGCATGTACACATCTTTCCTTTTAAGATTACAAGCAACTTGAAACAAATGTGTAAGTAATATAAAAGGGCCTTACAGATATTAGAGATTTGGGGATGGAGACCAGGTTTTCAAGAAATGCTGTTATTTGAACCAAATGAGAGGTAGAAGTGGAGACTGTTCATCAGGGTGGGAATGGGAATGAGGAGAAATGACATATGAAGCTAGAAAGGGAACATACCAGGAGTTTTCAGGATATGATTAAATAGCCATGTTTGACTGGAGCAAAAGGTTAAGGAAATAGTGATAGAGATGAGTAAGTATTAATAAAGACGAGATAATAGAGACCTTAAATCCCAAGCTGGACTTGACTTGTTTATTGAGGGACCATTAAACATTATTGTGTAGTTAAGTGATGGGTCAAATCTGTGGTTTAGGAAATTTATTAATTTGTCAGTTGATCATGGAATGGATTAGATGAGAAACTAGAAAACAGTTGAGAGTTGCAATTTGGGTAAAAATGTTTAATGACTTGGGGCAGTGGAGTAGAATTTGCAAATAAATAAAGTACAGATTACTTGGCAACTCATTCCCTGTGAATTGAGAAAGGTTTTAGTCTGCTCGATAATGAGACTATGGGGTCTGTTAATATGTATTCAGTCCTTTGGAAGAGGAGACCTGAATATTCAATTTTGGACCTGTTGAGTTAGACTTTTTGGTTTGTTATTCAGACACCCTGCTCCTTGAGGGCAGTGAATTGTCCTACTAGATTTTGCATACATTCTAATACCAATGTCTGGTACATAGTAGCTGTGCAATAAATACTTGTTGACTGGCTGAACCTAGAGAGTTAAGATTTGAAATGGAGATCTGAAAGTTGTCCACACATATCCTGAGATGGTATTTGAAGTTAGGTAGGAGGATGAGAGTCAACAAGGAAAAAAAGAAAACTTTGTCCAAGGTAAGAATCTTGAGGAATGCCCCATATTTAGGGAGAAGGAATGGAATGATTTGACACTGAAAAAAGACAGAGAGGTGGGAGTGAAAGACTAGAATCTGCATATGGTTGGTTTCAAAAAAGAATGAGTGGTCAACAATGTATATTGCTTCAGAATAGACAGGGTGATAAGGACAGAGAAAAGCCCCCTCCCTAGTTTATATGGTTTAGTTAGGATGGTAACCAAACCAAACCCGTTGCCCTTGAATCAGTTCCAACTCATAGCAACCCTATAGGACAAATAGAACTGCCTCACAGGATTTCCAAGGCTGTAATCTTTACAGAGGCAGACTGCCACGTCTTTCTCCTGTGGAGTGGCTGATGGGTTCGAACTGCTTACCTTTCAGTTAGCAGCTGAGCACTTAACCACTGTACGACCAGAGCTCCTTGTTAATGTCTTACCCAGTATGTTTTCCAAAAAAGCAGCTTTAGGATCTATGGTAGATAAGGAGATCAGTTGTGAAAGGTAAGTGGATGATTAATAAGTGGAAAGAGTTTACTATGTATACCAAAACCATTGCCGTCTAGTCAATTCTGACTCATAGCAACCCTCTAGGACAGAGGAGAAGTGCCCTGTAGGGTTTGCAAGGCTGTAGCTCTTTACAGAAGCAGACTCCCACATCTTTCTCCCACAGAGCAGCTGGTGGGTGCGAACCGCCGACCCTTTCGTTAGCAGCTGAGCGCTTAACCATTGTGCCACCAGGGTTCCTCACTATGTATAGTGTTGCTATATTCCTTACCCTGTTTAAAGAACTGTAAGGTAAGCATAGATTTCTTCAAACATTTTAAAAATGTTACACTTTACGTGGAATGACACATGCTATTTTCTTGCCTGAGAATAATTTGTAATCTCTCCATAGTGCCTCATGTTTCTTTGATGTTTCATTTTCTTATATCTTTGTAACTTAAACCAAAAACAAATCCATTGCTGTCATGTTGGTTCTGACTCATAGCGACCCTATAGGACAGAGTAGGACTGCCTGAGGGTTTCCAAGGCTGTAAATCTTTATAGAAGCATATTGCCAGGTCTTTCTCCTGTGGAGTGGTTGGTGAGTTCAAGCTGCCTATCTTTC